TGACGTCGGCCAACACGCCAGCGATCATCCTGGTGGCCTGGGGACACCACGTACCACGCTTTCGATTAGCCCGCACTAACAAGAAACTAATAGAGGTCGGGGGGCTCCCCCCCCCCCCTTCTCGGTCACGCCCATTTTCTCTGTCGAGTTGCCCCTGTGACCGTTAATCGATAAGTAATAAGCCCAGTCCTAACAGATTTTTTTTAAAAGGAAATTGGCTAAGAAATAAAATACTCTAGTGCTCTAGTGATTTTCTCACGTCTGGATAACTCGGCGTCTTCACAATACCCCAGCCCATCTTCTTGCCCCTCCATCCGTCCCCCTTTTTTTTCCTTCGCCCTGATCCGGCCCGTTAGTGCGAAAGTCCAGAGGCTAGAGAGGAGAGGGGGTGAGCAGGCCGGAGCTGCAGCAGTAGATCCGCTAAAACGACTTTTCATGTTAGCCTTCTCCACCAACCTCGGCCAGTTTCGCGCCCTCTTTTGAGCGTGAGTGTGAGTGAATGTGAGTGTGTGTGCGTGTGTGTGTGTGGCACGCAAGAGATGGAGGCAGAGGCTCGCGGCTTACGAATTTGAAGGTGATAAGGAGAGAAAGAGAAAAATATGAGAATAGGCTTCACAGATGGGGCAAAGCCACTCCAGGGATTTCGACAACGGCACCAAAAAGGGCTTTTTTTTACAGTTTCTTTTTTTTTTTTTTCAAAAGAAATACAAAGTATCTCGATTCTCGCCGGCATTCGTCACGGCACAATCCTCGGCCACATGGAGCAGGGGCGCAGGGGTGTGGGTGGGTGCCGGACCGCGGAGTGTGGGACTTAAAACAGGACGGGCGCGGCGCCATTGGCCGGAACCGGAACGACGCGGGGAGGCCGTAACACGTCCCGGCGCCCTGACTTATGGACGACGAGCGCGGCAGCACTGCGCGGCAGCACTCCGCACCCCGCCGCAACGACAGCGGAGCGTTAGCCGCGGAGCGTTAGCCGCGGAGCGTTAGAAGGAGCGTAATAACGTTGGCAGCGGGAGCGTCGACAGCGGAAACGTTATTGACAGAGGAACTCAAACATGCACTGGAAATGCAAGTGTGTGAATTTTCTAGGAAAAATTCACACCTTTACCCCCCTAAGTGTACGTATGGAATGTCGCTCACCTGCAGATGAGCGACATTCACACACTTGCATTTCCAGTGTAGAGTTTGATCAACGTAGCACGAATAGCCTACACCCTTAAAATCTTACGAACAAATAGTTTTCATAATATGAACGCCACTATTCATAATACGAATCCTCTCGTTCGTAATATGAACGTCTTCATTCATAATAGGAATGATTTTTGGATTCGTACGTTATGAAGGGAAAACTGATCGCGTAGTAAGGTACCGAACCCAAATTCGGAAAATGAACGAGAACCTTTCTATTACGAACGCGAGGATCCATAATACGAATGAGTTGTGTTCGTATCATGACAGCACTCAAATTGTTTATAAATACCAGGTGGCTGATTCACGCCGCGCACTTCTGTAGTTATGCTGTACCGCATGCATGAGTGCGGGCGGGTTGCCTACTCGCTCGACTCGTAAGGCGCCGTGGTCAGGGGCGATAGGCAAGCCCGCCCGCATTCATGCATGCGGTACAGCATACCTACAGAAGTGCGCGGCGTGAATCAGCCACCTGGTATGAACAATGCTGTTCGTAAGACTTTAAGGGTGCCCAAACGCTTCAAAGTGACCATCAAGCGCCTGCTGCGCGCTGGGTAGGCAAGCCCGCTAAGCATCTGTGCGAAGTCGGTGGCCCGCCCAGAGCGCCCAATAGGTGGTGGGGCTTTATTCCTCAGGCAAGAGACCGCATGACGCCCTCTTATTGTCACCATCTCCCGTAGACCGCCGTTGTAGCCTCCTTCTCGGTGTGGAGCAATATGATCCCGCTCTGTTCCGGTCGACCTGGAGACATGTTTTATTCGCGAAGGTTGCGGAGCTCGCCAATGCCTCCATAATCCATGGCTTCTCCATAATTTAGTTTCCTGGGGGTACTTGGTTTGCCTCTGGCTGGTTCAATCAATTGCGATTCGGCCGGCGCTGCGAGGCGCCAAATATCTAAACATCTATGACTACAAAGTACGGGTGTGGGGCCGGCAGGGTAGGTTCCCGGGATCACAGGCCGGGTCAAGTTGGTGATCACCCAAAATCAGACGAATTAATACGTCCCAGAGCGGAACGACGGGAGATTCCCTACTGAGGGCGAGGGTGAAAAGCTCGGTAAGGGCGGGCAGAGATAGAGGAGAGAAGTGAACGAAAGGTGGAAGGAGAGACAGAGAGGGTGGGGGGAGGGGGCATATAGGTGGTTGAGCGCAAGGGCGTTCTCTGTAATTAGTCGGAAGTGGCGCACCAAGTTTCCCGAAACAATTAATCCTCGCCAGAGATAGGGAGTCGCTGATTCGCCCTTATCGGCGCGTTGGATTCCAGGCCTGCCCCCCTCCGCGAACGGGAGCAACAAGCTACCGCCAGCAACTGTCAGCTACCGCCAGCTACCGCAAGCTACCGCTAGCTATCGCTAGCTACCGCCCGGGAACACTACCGCCGCCGCCGAAGGGTGGACAACTTGTATATTCCATGTACACACTGAAAATATGCCAAAAATATTCCAGGCTTTCCAAAAGTTCCGATTCCACTAAAAATTCTCAATATTTCACCAAAAAATTCCAAATATTTCAAGAATAGTTCAGATATTCCCAAAGAATTCCAAATTTTCCACAAGCATTCCAGATATTCTAAAATATTCCAGATATTCAACAAAATATTCCAGATATCCCACAAAATATTCCACATATTTCACTTACTACGAAAATTTGAGTGGTCGACCCCTCGACCGCCGCGAGGCTCGAGCACTAAAAAGCAACAAGCAGGGCCTGCATCCTCACCGCAAAGTGCTACTCCTCTAAGCAACATAAAGACGACGAGGGCGAAGAAGGACACTATTCTAAGTAACACCCACATTGTCTTAACACGCCAATCTTCTTTTTTTTCGCTGTGTTTGTCACTTCTGGGAATTGATTGTGCTTGGGTCATTCCTGGAGCTACTCTCGGGACCGGAGCACGGAGCAGCCGGGCCCGAGCGGGGCCGGAGCGGGGCCGGAGCGGCGAGACAAGGAAAGAGCAGCGTTAAGCCCCTCATCCCCTGTAATGAGAGGGCGGGGCAGGCAGGGTGCTAAGGGGAGAAAGGTTCTTAAAATGTCGGATCACTTCACTCGAATTTTTTATTCCTTTTTTTTTCCTTGGCTTCACTTCGCCGCGCCGCCCCTTCCTCTCTCCGACACTGGTCCGGCGGGGGGCGCACACGACAGTCTCAGCAGCCTCGGGGCCTTGTGGACAGGGGGGCGGGCGGGCAGACGGACGGACGGACGGACACACACACACAGACTCTGCTGCTGCCGCTGCTTGAAAAAACATGGCGACGATGCGGTGGGGTTCTATTTATTCCAGCCCGCTACGTCCGGCCACGCCGGGCGAGTGGATTGAAAGTAGCCCCTGCTCCTAAGTGCAGCGGCCGCAGCCGGGCCGGGGGTGGGAGCGAGACACACTACAGCAACGTAATGAATGTTTCATCCGGCCCCACCCCGCCCGGCCATCGGCCCGACCATCGACAGACGGACACGCATCAAGAGAATTTCATCAGGGGGGCTGTACAAGCCACACGGGCGCAGCAGAGACGGCCAAGATAAATCGGTGACCCAGACGCGAAGGGGAAGAAAGAGAGAGAATAGAACAGGGAGATAAAAGTCCAGCGCATCATTTGCGGAGTTACATCGCCCAGATGAGATGGATGGCGTTGGGGCGGGGCGGGGCGAGGCCGCGAGGGCGGTGCGGCGGCAGCGGAGCGCGTGTGTGTCATGTTCGACGCGGTTCGAAGCCTAAAACTGACAAAGGGAATTAGGCAAGTGTAAATAATGCCCGATTGTGCCCAAACTCGATATATTTGCTTCTTATTATCTATGTAATGCTGACCAATTTTTTTTCCTGACTGTCGTATGGCGGAACTCCCTATAAAAGCGTATAATTTCGAAAAATACAAATTTCTCATTTGGTCAACCTTTTGTGCAAATATTAAGTGATATTCTGACAACATGGGCGGTTTTGGGGGGTAGTTCCTCAACCAGTTTTCGATTTGAGACCTCCTTCCGTCATTTCAAATGTTTCCGGCATTATTTGCTCCCCTAAAGTACCCTAGAAACTGACAGTCAGGAAAAGAAACTCTACCGTCAGTCGTCATCAACATAAGTAGGAAACAAATATACCGAGTTTGGGCAAGATCGGGAATCCTACACCAGCCCAAGTCCCCTTGTGAGCGATGCTTCTGCATTTCATTCGTTGTGGGCAGATTACATTGACAAGACGAGGACGAGGAGAAGTCTATTCTATTCGCACGTTGGTGATGCAGGGGTGCTACGCAGGGTGGTTGTTCTAAAAGGTTCCGTCGCGATACTTTGCCGCGACTGAACTTGCTTCCGGCCTTCGTGGGCGCGAAGCGGATGCGGGGGTTGAAAATCAGCGCAGGGCGTGTTGGCTGTGGTGGGCCTCACCCCCGCGCCGCACCGCGCCGCCCCGCCCCGCCTCACACAACAAGTTGCCGCCCGGGGATTGCGTCTCAAGAGTCGAGCAGCCCCCTCCCAGCCCCTTCCCGCCGGTCGCTGGGCCTTTACTAACGGCTAGGGGGTGTTTTTCCTAACGGACACACTGTTATTCCCCCGCCGTTGCTGCTCCGCCTCGTCCCGCCCCGCCTGTCCCTCAGCCGGCCCGCTTTTACAAATAAGGCAGTAAGCGAGAACAACCCCGCGCTCTCGGCTGCCGCTGCTGCCACTGGAGGGGAAGGGCTGCACTGCACTGTGCCAATCCTGCTGCCCTTGCTCGGTAACTGGCCCGACGAGAAACGAGCGTCGGCAGCGCTGCCCTTGCTCGACCTGCTCGTCATTCTCGTCCTGCTCGCCCTGCCCCGTCCTGCTCGTCGTGCTGACCGCGAGCTCGGTGCACTCGCGGGTCAGCTCTACGAAGCCGGCTTTCGGCTGACCCGAGGGAACAAACAACCGCAACAGCGAGAGCGCGTGCCGGAGCGGGGGCGGCGAGAGGGCACCGACGGTCTCGACATTCTCAAAGACAGAGGGTTGTGCAGTAGCTAGGCGTCTAGGTCACCTGACCCCCAAAACAGGACGAATGAGGTCACAAACCCGCCACCTGCCCTACACCCTCCAGTGCGCCGGTAACTACACGGCTGCAATCGCCATCATACACTGCGGGCTACAAGGTGTCCAGCCGCGGAGGCTGGGCCAAGAGTGTTGGCCACAGGCGCCTCGCCAGCCACGTGGTGCTCGCCACGTGCCGCGGGGCTGGTGCCGGGGCTGGAGCCGGGGCTATGGTGCCGGGGGCACGGGGGGCGTGCGGGGCGCCGGCACCACAGGCCTGCCCGTACTCACCGTGGCTGCAGTCGGCCGCTGGCTGAGTGTTACTTCATGCTGTCCGGCGGGGCTCGGCCCGCGGCGCTCGGCCCGGCTCGCTCGCAGTGGCGGTGGCGGTGCTGGTGGTGGCCTGGCAGTGCCTGGCGGTGCCTGGCGGGGCCTGGCAGTGCAGCCTGGGCCTGCTGGGCGGGCTCTGCGCCGCTGTGCGCCCGCCGCGCGCTGGTGGCCCCCCGGCCGCCCCCGGCCCGGCCCGCTGGTGGCCCGCCAGCATCCCCTCCACTCCACTGGGGTGGCCCGGCGGGGTGGCGGTGACGGTGGCGGGATGGGGCGGTCCAGGGTGGGGTGAGGTGGGGTGGGGGACGCTATCGGCAGGGAGTTTAAGAAGGGGGGCGCAGGGAGATTTGGGAGCAGAGAGAGAGAGAGAGA